CTACTTTTGATGCCAAAATTAGGGTTTTTTTCCTATTTATTCCTTGATCACAGAATGGTTTGGGTAGGAATGAACTTTAAAGATCATCTTGGTCCAAATCTCCTACCATGGGATGGACACCCTCCACTATCCCAGGTTCCTCCAAGCTCCATCCAGCCTGGCTTTGGACACTTCCAAGGGCAGGCCCAGCTTTTCTGGGCACCCTCTGCCAGGGCCCCACCACCCTCACAGGGAAGAATTTCTTTCCTATATCCTATCTAACCCTGCCCTCTGCCTGTGTGAAGCCACTCCCTCTTGTTCTGTCACTCCAGGCCCTTGTCCAAAGTTTCCTGCCAGCTCTCTTGAAGCCCCGTTAGGCACTGGAAGGTGGTTCTAAGATCTCCCCAAAGTCTGAACCAAAATTTAATTCACAGACTGATAGTAACTGGTACACTGCTTACAGAGAGATGCACAGCTGGTTACAATCACTGCAGGAATTACTGAGACACTCCCCCATTCTGAGAATGTCTAGGTCTTCAGATTTCTTCCAAGGTATCAAAGATCTAATCATAGAAGGTTTGGGTTGGAAGGGACCATAAAGGTCATCTCATTCCAACCCCCCTCCATAGGACACCTTCCACTATCCCAGGTTGCTCAGAGCATCAGCCAACCTAGCCTTGAACACTCCCAGGAATGGGGCAACCACAGCCTCTCTGGGCAACAGTTTTGATAGCTTTTTGCAAATCACTTCAGATGGAGACATCATTTTGGCTGAAGCAGAGCTGAACACAGATCAGTAAGAGCAGGATGTATCATTAACATTCAGCAGTTAACAAGCCAGGTCCTTCCAAAGAAGCAAGGCAAAGCTGTAAGTGCAGGGAGCAGCAGCATCTGAGCAAGTTTTAGCTGGCAGAGATCTAAAAAACTCAGAAAAAAAGCTTTAGCAACTAAGATAAAGATTTTCAGGAATGAAACAATGCTGCTGCCACCTGCAAATCCCTGTCAGCGCATCCACAGGACCTGGACCAGCTCACTCTAGGTGTGTTTGCATATCTTTGAAATAACACACCTTCCCTTCCGTGTCTGCAGACCCATCCTTTGATCTGCTGCAACATGAATATAAAACAGCAGCAATCCTTACAAAGGAATGATAATAGCTTGCTGCTTTGATACCTATGGCAACATGACTAAAAACAAGCAATTCAAAGAAACAACTAATTCAGTTTAAAGTTATGAAGTTATGAGCTTTTTTTTTCCTGTGGTCTTTAACTTATCTGCAAAGCTCTTTCATCCAATTTTGTAAAGAAGTGTAAGCAGCCATTCTGAATTGATTATTACAACTTCAGGATGAGTGACACTTGACTAAAGAGTAAAAGAATGTCAATCTCCTTTGTCTTCATTTTCAAAGAAGGAACAGGAAAATATCCTTTTTCCTGCATGCTCTTTTATGCAAAAAAGGAACTTACAGACTGTGGTTTTGGCCCATGGTCTTGAACTCCATTCTCCTTCCACAATGAATAATACACAGAAATACTTAATCTGGAAAAATTCTTCAGCAATCTGGACAATACAAGCTGAACAAAAAGTGCTATTTTACTAAAATAAAGTCATTCCTACCCACAGAATGTCTGCAGGTTCAACTCACCTGTAATTTGTAATTTCCCAATGCCCAGACATTACCAAAATATCAGTTCTTTACTGCAGCAATTCAATACATTCACGGATGCAGGCATTCACTCCCTTTTTTTCCTTTTTCTTCCTTTTTCTTTCTAAAATTTATGTTTGAATCCCAGCAACTCATCTTGTGCCATAAAATGTTTATGGTTTCAACTTATATGGAGAATCCAGCAGCCTTCGGAGATCGAAGGGCCATTCTCACTGTCAAAACTGGAAGCTTCACAATGATAACTTAATTTTCATTACAGCTTCACAAATTATATAGAAATACACAACTCTTTCAGCTGCCAACAGCCTCACAGACTAAAAACATGCAACCCCCAACCAGTAAGATTTTTCTGACCACAGAACACACAATTAGGTTACGTCAAATGGTTTTAGGGCTGTACAGTCACTTATACATTTTTAAGGCTATAACTGAATTGCCAAAAAACTATATGACAAAATGCAGATTGTCTGCATAAAAAGTTTTAAAAAAAACCAACCCACCTTTATCTACTTTCAGTACAGCAGATGAAAGCATATTTTAAGTCATTATTTCCTCTTTAGGCTTCCCCCTCTACATGCAGGGAGGGGTTTTAGTTTCCGTTCTAACCTGAGATGAACCAGTCGGCCTAGAAAGCTCATTCAGTGCTTCTAAACTACCACACTCAAAAAGCCAGGGTTTATTCCACAACTTTGATGCTACAGGTGAGCCAGGATCAAGAGCTCTGCACAGACTGCCTCAGTGAGAATACTGCTTCCTACAGATTCACACCCCTATTCTGCTACAAGGCCTCTAAGCCAGTAAAAGTTAAATATCTCTAAAGTGATGGGATGTATATAAATAAAAATACACATTTCTACATAAACTACATATTTAGAAGACTTTGAGCCCATCCAAAGCAACATTTTTAAATTGTTTGTAAGTGTGCCCATAAGACATGCTTAGAATTGCTCTGCTCTAAGAATATATTTATGAAAAATTAAAAAAAGAAAAACAACAAAAAAATAAAATATACAAGTCATAAAATCTGTATTGTAAGATTGACTTCTGCAAGATGTATTCTGACTACATCAGGGTCCTAGCAAGCACGTTGGCCCAGCTGAACTGGCAGGTTCCAGATAGCACCCATGCAGCTGTTGTTCCCCAGTAAACATCTGAGTAACTACACCAGCTTTGTCTCATTAACAAAAAAACAAATGAAGACAGCATCACCAAATATGCTGAAACAGTGATTTAATGAGTTTCAAACTGGAAATCACCTAAAAAAATTATTAACTGTTTACCAGAATCCTGTGAAATTTCCAGTAGATAATATTCAAATTTAAGTTGTCAGGAAAAATACCTATCAGCCTATGTAGAAACAGATCTGAGTACATACGATGTACCAATTCAAGGTCTGCACTTGTCTTTTCTTCTGCATGGGGAAAGTGAGAAAGGGTTCTAGTTTTAGCCTCTGAAGTACATTCACAGTAGTAACCACACAATTCAAGTGTCTGTGCTCCTTCCTCACCGCTGCTGTTTGAACTCAGGGTATTGCGCTTTGCACTGAGACTTATTCCTCAGATTTTAAAGTGCTGTGTTTTCATAATTCAGAAAAAGTAAAGCTTCTAGCAGTAACCATCTACAGAGCAGTAGAAAACAGCAGCATATCAGAATGATTTGGATTGGAAAGGACCTTCAAGAACAGCTGGTTACAATCCCCTGCCACAAGCAGGGGATATTCCACTATCTCACACTGCCCCAAGCCCCATCCAACCTGGCCTTGGACACATCCAGGGGCAGCCAGAGCTTCTCTGGACAACCTGTGCCAGGGCCTCCTCACCCTCACCAGGAAAAATTTCTTCTTTTCCTGGTGTTGAATTAAGCTTTATCATTTGTAAGCCTCCAGTAATTTTGAAAAATTAGATAGGCTGACACCAACCCTCTTTTTTTACACTTAACAACAACACTTGTGTGCCAAAGCCTGCATGTGGAGATCAGTAACATTTATGGAGCCACTTAACTTCACACTGAAGTGTGAAATGAGTCACAAGTGGACAGGTTGTGTTTATCTACCCAGGATACACCTGGAATAAAGAGACACTGGAATTTGGTCACCTCCAAGGACAGCACTGGTGGTGTCCATCTGATCTCCACTCACCCCAATAAACACCCATTTGTCCTCAGGCTTCTGATTGCTTAGCTTGTGCTCAGAGTATTTCAGTGCCTGTGCACTCCCCTGTGCTCCACACCAGATGAAACTGTGCATAACTAAGGTATTCTAGAAAAAATACCCAAGTAACCTTCAGCTGCATTTTCAAAGGAGAAGGTGAAAATTTCATGGAGTTGCAATGAGACTTGGGCACCTGAATGTTTGAATCATTTCTGACAATGGCAGTTCAAAGACTCAAAATTTTGAAAACCTTATCCTATATAATGCAAATCATAGATGGCTGCACATTAGGAGGACTAATTCAGAACATAAATTTTTTACAGTGTATGGTAAAAAAATTACTCTATATGTAATATTTGTGTGAACTGCATTTCTTCTTTTCTGTCATCACATCAAGTTCCCTTACATGGGAGACAGAGACACTTCCCACATAAAGCTGTTTGTCCCCAGCTCAGGACAGGGGTGTCCTACCTTTTCCTTAACACCGGCTGACACACATCAGAACACAGCACTCCTTTGTGGTAACATGCCTTTCATCCCTGCCCAGTTCATGAGACTACTTCTGAGCAAGAAGCAGCCTCAGAAGCATCACAGATGTGGCAAAATCCCCCAGTGAGAAAGCACTGTGGTGGTTATAAGCAGTTAGAGAAAGAAGGAAGGGTCTGGAGTTTGTTGCTTACTCCTGTACCTCAAACTTAATTAAATTCGAAACATGGTAGAAATGAGGACACAAACAAATAATTAAAACATTAATCATAAATTAATTCACAGCTTAAAAATATAGAGTCCTTGGCATGGATTTCATGTGAGTAGATGAAAGTCTGTTATTTCCTGTAACACCTACTCTTCTGGTAAATTTGGTACAGGTTACCTGATGAATTAAGAAGTTACTGGAAAAGAAAGGGGAGAAGAGAAGGAATGGCGCTGACATAACCCATGTAACACCAGCTTGTTTCCTTAAACAGCCCAGGCTTAAAGCAGTTTTAGAGGCACAGAAGTTATGTCAAAGTGTCATTTTAATTTGAAGATACAACCAAATTTATTAATTCTCAGTGTGAGGGAAACTAATTCTCCCCACCAAAACTATGAAATATAATCTCATTTCACTGCTGACTATCATTAGTTTGAACATATGTTGATTTTCTGGGGGTAGGCAGTGGGGTGGTAAATACATATATATCTGAATGGCCAAATATTTTGGGTCACCTCTTCCTATTTTGCTGTAGGTCCCAGCTGTCACGTAGGTCTGTCACTCTTTTACAGCCACATGAAGCCAGTCCACTTGCAAGTACAAGTGCAGCCTAAATGTTAACAGACATACTTCATTCATGATCTTAACATCTTCCCTCTCTGCTGCAACCACATGAATCCAGGCTGTGATTGAAAAGGAGAAAAAGAGAAATCAAGCACGTTGTTAATTGTGTCTTGAAAGATTCCTTTGATTCCCAAAACCTGTAACCTAGTCAGACTTACCATATATTGGAAGTACAATGTGAACCACGCCATCATTTCAGGGCAAGCAGAGTAAAAAATCATTAGTAGACATTTAATAACACCAAGAATTCCAAACCCATCAAGCCTCTCAAACAGGGAATTCTTTCCCCTTTTCATCTAACAAACACATCATATTTATCAGAAACATAATTACCTGCATTCAAAACTGGGAGCAGTAAAATACCAGGTGGTGCAGCTTCACAGGTCTTCACACCAAAGCAGCTTGGGAATCTTGGCTACGGATCTCAGTGGTGAGCAGTACTTCTTCCAATCCATCCTATCTGCTCCAGTCCAATGGACAGATTTCAAAGTGCAATTTTCCTGACCGAAGTAGCATTCTTCAACCTAAATAGAGCTGGGGGGAGAAAAGAGAAGAGAATTTGAGGTCATCTGGTCAAACTTTCCAACTGTTTTAAGCTAAGAAGAGGCTAAACATTGTCCAGAGAGGTTGTGGTCTCCCCATTCCTGGAAGTGCTCAAGACCAGCCCCAGATGGGGCTTGGAGCAACCTGGGACAGTGAATGGTGTCCCTACCCTTGCCAGGTACTTGGAATTGGATGATCTTTAAGGTCTCTTCCAACCCAAACCAGTATGTGATTCTGTGAAGAAACTCCATCCAAATACTGCCCAATACTACACCACACCAATATTTATCCCAAATGCCTTCCTTAGTCTAATAATGTTTGTGAAGACAGACCACATGTGAGATCAAGGCAAACAACAGCAGATCCCACAATCATGGGCCTCCAGAGAGTGACCAGTACAAACCCTCTGCCCAAACCAGAGAGCAGAAAGGTCCCCAGGACCACCTCCAGTTCTGAGCATCTCCACAGATGGAGCCTCTGAGGGCAACTTGTGCCAGTGTTTGGCCATTCACAGCAAAAAACTTCTCATTTTAACAAAATTTCCCCTATTTCACTTTGTGCCCCTGAACCCATTAGTCTCAAGGCTGAACTGCCCCAGCTCTCTCTGCCACCTCTCAAGTCATCCCTGTATTCTCACAGCAGGGTCTCCCAGCCTGTTTTCTGTCACAACTACAGTTTTCCTGTATTTTGATGACTGAACTATGTGACTAACTGCAGATGTAATTCTCCAGCATTCTTTGCTGAAGAATCATCTGAAAAATAAAGCAGCAAAAATTAAATCACCAGTGAAACTGCTGATTAAGTGGGCCATGAACACATTGGGGAACCACAAGGTGTAGGCCTTTCTGGTCTCATTAGAAGTTACACTCCAACAGGACATTTTTAATCTTTTCTGTCTCAGCTACATACAACCTAAGTTTTTATATCAGAATACTGCATTGAAATGATTTAATGCTTCAAAAGAAATTAGTTAAATATAGCAATAAAGGCCAGACACAGAAGCCTATTAAAAAAAAAACCCGAAAAACCAGCTTTGTCTCACAAATCCTTCTATCACAAAACCATAGTGACCAGCATTTATTTTTATTTTTAGCTTTTAAGCTTTCACTGATGGAAGTCCAAGTTAACCTTTACTTTATTTTGTCCTGGGCTAAATCCACTGTGACATCCTTTTTGCCCTTTTAAATACAGAAATATCTTGGAAGGCTTCCAGTACTTTGAAATAAACACATTTACAAGATATGCAACAATTAACATGAGTGGCTCTAGAGGCTCCTGAGACAGCTCTGAAGTCCCTATGATGTGATGTCCAGATATGTTTATATAACTTTTTTTATTTAATAGTTAATTTCAGAAATCACTCCTTTACCATCTTTAGCAAAGTGGGTGTGAACTTTCTACTCCAAACAAAAAATGATATGGAAAAGGAGAAAAAATATGAAAAAAGCAAAATGGCATTAAAAAGGCAAAAAAATTACATTAAAACAGTACAAGTTTATGCTTAATAATGTCTAAAGAGCAAGCTGACTTTGAGGCACACTGGAAATGACCATTTCACCCTGTAGCTCCTTGTGTTGGAGCCAGGGGACAACTGCACACAAAGATCAGAAGATTGTGATGTTTATGCACCTACAAGCTGACATCTGTCTACTTCTCAATCACAGGTCTCACTACATGTTTCTACTTACTTCTCAAAATTACAAAATTACTATGATTTTACTTCAATTTTCACAGAAGAACTTGAGATTCTCAACAGCAGCAGATTTGTGAGAGTTTCCAGTCCAAGCTCCGAAAGAAGTTAAGTAGATATAGGATGAAAGGATATTTTTCAAAACAAATACAAACTGGCAAAGTCTGAGGTCTTTTACAGTTGCATACTATAGGAACAAGTTAAAATAGTTCCTCAATCACCTGCAATTATCTTTAAAAGTTTCTGGAAGTCAGAAAAGCTCATAAAGCAATGAAGAGCCAGCAGAGAGCTTGAACCCTAAGAAAGAAGTTTAGCAATTAAGTTATAAATTAGATTTTATTATTACTATTATTATCTTGTTTAATGCATAATTAAGTGAGAAATTATTCAAAAAAGTTTCATCCCACCTGAAAACAAGGGACGAACAATTCTAAGGATCCCTTCCAGATAAAATCAAATATTGTATTATTGCAACCATAGTAAGATCAACACAGTATGGAATGGGAACAAGCAGATGAAAAGATGCTTCTACATCAGTGAAGCAGCACAGAGGTCCCAGACTGTTTGTTCCATGCTGAACCTCAATGAGGAATAAAAATATTCAGAAGTTAACTCTGACTAAAGTCCAAATAACAGTCCCAATTCCCTGTACAGGCTCTTGGGCAAAGAGGTGTTTCTCAGCCCAGGGTTTTAAAACACATGGATTTTAAAAAATTATCTGTGAAGGAGTCAAATGCTATTTTTCTTTAATAGCTACATACACACTGTGGCTCTTCAGCCAACTGGCAGAAACATTAAACTCCCAAACTTTTATCGCTTTTACAACATGTAGAAGTTACTTTTTTATATTTCATGACTTTAAGAAGTACAACTAAACAGAGCACTCCTGTAATTTTCTAATTATATTTTCTCAAGTTTTTAATGTCATAATTTAAATTATGAACTCTTTATTTCAAGCTGATTAATTAGAGTATGTTCCATTTGGGGAACAAGAGTTCAATATCCCACTATCAATTAAACAAAATGCACTCCTTTAGCTTAAGATTAAAAACCAAAATGCAGCCAAAAAGTTTCTTCCTTGTATCTGTCAGATCACAAAGCATCCAGCAGGATAAGGTTGCCAGAAAACCCCAACGCTTTCAAAACTATTTTATTTAGTGCAGTGGCTGAGCTCCGAAGCTACACCAGAAATGACATCCAAGCTTTGGACAGTAAGCCTTTTTGCCAATGAATTTCTTGTAAAGTCAACAATTATAATTTATTCTGATCCTTTGTGTCATCATATTAGTAGTTATTTTTCTGCAATCCCAGAGCAGCAACAAATAATGCCATAGAAGAGGACTGATATAATTACAGGCTGAAAAAGATAGGCCAGCACCCTTACACTCAAAACTACCCTCTGTGGCTCCTTCATACCCCATATGTTGCTAATAAAACTGTTTGAATCATACCTAGGAGACAGTTTTACTGATATTGTATCAGGTCCCTGGGTTCTTTGTATGAGATACGATGTCACCAGCACTATAACTATGCAAATTCCGTGATACAGGATCCCACTGGACACAATATTACATACGTAATTCGCAGTATGAAACTGGGCATTAACAATAATTCTAGTGTTGTATAAATGAAACCACTATGTTTATTGAAAAGCTCGCCACACAACAACAAAATCAAATTTAAAAAGCAATAAAGAGCAACTGACATGCTCATAGTAAAGATGGCAACGTTGGTATTTTTCCCCAAACAATGTAAATTTTGCTTTGTGTCCATGTGACAACGCTTTACAGAAACTTTTGGCAGTGACACTAAGCAAATGCAACCCCAGCAAAAATACTAAAAAATGACTTTGAATAGGAACTTACAGAGTCCCACTTTTAGAAACAACCATGTGATGTTCAGCAAGAATCACTATTCACACACAAGTGGGATTCTCAGCTTCTGTTACTAATCATGGAGGAAATTATAAATGATAAAGACTAAGAACTGCAGCAGTGGAAAAACAATAGCCTGGAGATACCAACGCACATCGTGCTGAAGCACCTCAGGAGAATCATCTTGTGGTCAGAAGACACCTGTGCTCCAATCCTGCATCTCTGGTGACCTCAGGCAAACAAGATTTCATCCCAGCTGGCATCATGTGAAATAGGGTCCCTCATCTTTTCCTGTGGCCAGTGATTTATGCACACCGCATATACCTGCAAAAAGGCAAGTCAGAGACCTTAAGATCAGCATTGGAAGAGACAGAAAGATGCAATGAGAAACCTGTCAGCACAGGCAGCTTGGTGCACATTCCTCTTATCCATATTTCCAGTGAGCTCTTCCCTCCACTATTAATTTATTGGTTTGCTGCAGGTGAGAAGTGCTAGAGCTTGTAAGGAGTCTATTTTTGAAAGAAATCCAGAAAAAAGTAACAGGCTGGCATGATAAAGTGAGTCTGGTAAAAAGCTAGACTGAGGAGATAAAAGGATGCTATTTTGCCAAGGTACCATGAGAATTAATAAATCAGATCATTTTATAAGGTAAATTGTACAGTAAATGTGTATTGTAAATTGTCTAATACATATGGGAAAAGCCACAGCTCAGTATTCTCTGCTAATATTTTCAATGGTTTCAAACAGAGCTACAAAACAAATGACACACAGCACAAGTAGCTAAGGAGTCTCACTCCGAGAAGCTCTAACTTTAAGTAACTGATGAAAAACAGAGTTGTAACCAGGCACTCAGAACAGAAGATAAAGAACTGATTGATTCCTGTCACTTGTGTGCTTCCACTACAGTGGCAGCTTAAGCAGTAACTTCTCAAGTTTTCCACCAGTCTCTCTGCAATACAAAAGCCATAACAGTTTTATTCTGCCTAGAAATCAATAAATAGCAGCTTAGGTGACATCTGACAAGGCAGAAAGCTCACACTTCTTCCCATCAGCGTTCTGCCCTCTGGTATTGCTGCTACATTTTATCATCATGCAGTTCAGAGAATTATATACCTATTTCCAAAGTTCAAAAAAAAAAACAACCCCCTCCTTCCCAAATATGGCCCAAAGCTGTTATGAAGCAACTTATTTTTAGCAAAAGCACTTATGCAGATACTTAATTTTAATTAATAGTCTCACTGACTTCAACATTTGCACAGCAAGACAACTCCACACTTCAATTAAAGCCTGCACAGAAATGCTGTGCTGATTCATGGCCAAAAGTATGACAGGAACATCATTATATAAAATGTTCATAAAATTTAAAGAAAAAAAAGGTAACAGGATCCTCACCTTTAAACAGAACATTAGACACCCTCTAAAACTCACAGCTTGAGCAGAACTTGCAGGTTGCTGAATATGTGAATGCTAGGGGTAAGATATATTCAGTGAAATGATTTCAGAGCGGGCAAAAGAATTTTGGGGAAGTATCTTAAGTGGAGACTACAGCAGGCCGAGATCTCTAGCCTTCATGTCTGCCACAGCTGGATTTTCAAGACTGGAAGATTCTTTACCAGGCAAGTGGAAGCAGCTGCACTTTTACTTCTGATCTTTTTCCATTGTTCACACAGCACATAAGTGGATTTCTATCAATAACCAAGTAATTATATACAGGCCAATTCAATCAGAGATTAATACTGGGCATCTTCAGCAGACATTCACTTCCAGAGAAGAGTCACTCTTAGTTACAATTCTGCCTATCAAAACATACCTATAATAAATCTAATTTTGAAATAATATGATACCTAAGAAACATAAGCTTTATTTTCACTGTTTATGTAGTATCATAAACTAAGCTTTACTTTTTAGGCATAATCCTTAAAGAGAGTTGGCAACAATTTTTTGTAAAAAAATTCTGGTCCTGTCTATAAGCAAAACTATGGCACTGATGGCCTGTGACTCACAACTACCAAGATTTTTAGAAGTGTAAAAAAACCAGAAGAGCAGAACAAAACAGCCTAGGTGACAGAACTCAAGTAATAAACAGATAGAAACAAGAAGAAAATGAACACCTGAGCATTTTCTTACAGGAGCAATTTCTTCCCAGGACATCCACTTCTCTCCAGCTCAGCACTAGCCCTGCCAGCCTGCCCACACATGAGCTAAAATAAAGCCCAGCCAGACCTGCCTTGGCTCTGCAGAGCAGCAGCTTGTGCATTTCCCCAACCGTTTCACACCTAATTTACAGAGTACATTTATCCATGCCTGTATTGCAGAGATCTAACCTGGGGAGTGACTAGAATCAGAATCATTTAATTGATTAACACTTAAGTGAGATGCAGAAAGCAAACAGAACACACTGGAAGACTTTCTGAAAATGCATTATTTTTATTCCAACTCCATTAAGCAGTCCAGCACTTTTGAAGGATTAATGAAAGAACTATCAAGAAATAATACTGAAGAGGAATGCTGAGTCTCAGGGAACATGCCAACACATGATGAAGTGCAGACACCTCTCTGGTAGTAATGAGTCAAGCCAGGATGTTCAGAGAACTACAGGGACATGTGAATTTGTCCACTTGATCAGTTACAGAATTTATTTGATTTTTATGAAAGAGCATTTCGATAATTCCTCCCTGGATCACAGACTGCAGCACTCATCAACTTAAAACAGTCATTCTCACAAAACTCACAACACATTTTTTCACACAGAGAAGTCTACTAAACATCCAGAGCTGAAAACATTCACCTTCAAATTAATACCAAAAAGCAGGCAATGAGTGTATGTATACACGTAAGGATTATTTCCATAAACCTTGTGAAGCAGAACACAATGTTTCATTTACAGCTGCTATTTTTTTTCAGCAGGAACTGTAGACAAGCCCAGGAAAAGTAGGAGTAAATAAGTTTCTAAACAAACACTTACAGAGATTCTTTTTAACAGGACCAGACAAAACATTCCTTAAAGTTGCATTTACAAGCCCAAGCTGACCTCAGGCACCACACTGAGTATGGATGAGAACCTACATGGATACTGACCTTAATAATACTACAGGGGCAAATTTTGCATAGGGGAGAGTTGCTCTTGAACAAATGTTTTCCAATGTATTAGGCATAGAGAAGCTTTTTTTCTGCATCAAGAACCACATGTCACAATCCTTAAACTGTTTCTTTTCTCGAGCTAATACGCTGTGGACAACAAATAGAGGATGCCCCTCGGTGTTCCTCTTTGAGGTTCCCATCTGTAGTTTGCATGAACAATGAAAATATATGGATTTCTTTTCCCCCTCAAAAATTACAGTCACATGCAAAAAAAAATATCCTAAGTGATTAAAGAGGCCATCAACACTAAGAAGTTCTGATGGAGTTTTTTTCTGATGTTAAATCAAGTGCCACAGAGCCCACACTAATGCAAAAACAGGGAGAGCTGAGGATGACAAGCAGCAGGAATGGCTGTGTAAGATGCATGAGAATCCACGAACAAATCTGGTGACAGGTCTAATTTAACACAAAAGGAAATAAACACTAATTCCACACTTATCAGGCCTTCCTAGGTCTAGTTATGCACATAGAATATAAAAAGGAAATGAGATATATTTAACTGTGCATCCCAGCATCAGTCTCAGTTGAGAAATTTCACTTGTGACCCTGAAACATCTGCAGCCCCTCTCTCAACAGGAAAACAACTTTAAGGTCATAATTCCAGGCAGAATCACTGTCCAGCCAGGCACAGAATGATGTAGGATTGTTCACTTGTATTATACCACAGCCCAGACATTTTCTCCACATACTCCCGGACCTTTTCACCCACTCAGGAGTAAACAGGCAAAGGGAAGAGAGCTGGTCTACAAAAATAGTAATGGTCTACATCTCAAAACCCTAACTGTAAATCATCTCCCTGATAATAATGAAATGAACCAAAAGTTTAATAAGATTGGACACATTTAATTCTTTATACTCCACAGATTAAAGAACAATTAAGAGGCTGGAAGCTGAAAAGTGGCTTAAGCTAAAGTTACACAATTTTGTGGACAAAATTTATGTGGCCACAGGAAAGCATTTACATATTTAATATAGGATATTTTAAATAGGTTTTTATTGGTCTAAAAAGAGTGTCTTGAATAGATTATTATTGCAGTAAAATGCTTGCTTTATACCTGAGTAATGAGATCACCAAATGTAAAAAAGCACACATGCAGAATGTGCAGGCTTTTGACCATTTCTCTCTGCCTCAAACTCCAAGTTGCAGAGCTTTAGACCACCATATTCAATTAAATCAAATTCAGACTATCATTTTCTAATACTTTCTTACAGTTAAATCCAACATTGGCCAATGCTTACCAGGTTACAATGCTAAGCAATTCAAGTGATAATTACAATGATGAATGTGCAATCTAATGCCCGTTTGCCTTGATTTATATGAACCATCACATATAAGCCTCATGCATCCATTTTAAGTCACTGGGAAGGATCATATTTTTCCTGATCTGAATCACTGTTTGGTCTGCACTTAGGCACTTCATTTTTATATTTTTTCATTAACCAGAATCAGTCTTTGCACATAGTGGAAGATGCCTGGGGCTGCACAGTCCTCTGCAATCTCAGCAACTGGCCCTCTCATTCCCTGTGATAGCTACGCTGAACAAAATAAGATCAACCAAATTTCCAGCTGCCCTTCTAACTGTGGGAGAAACAGATCAGCCTGTTCTTCTGAAGTAAAGGTCCCAAAAAGTTCAGCCTTTCATACAAAATACAGATCATTAACACTGGATATACAACTGTTCTGATGCTTGCTTTTTGTTTGCATAACCGAGATTTGATTTTACCTATTTCAGGATGTTCTATACATTATATATATGGTCTTTAAGGTCTCTTCCAAATCTTTCTATGATTCTAAAAATGCCCTAAATTAGTACTTTCATGTACTACTCCTTGGCTGGAAATAAAGCTCAATAATGTAGAGAAATTATGATTTTTATTTACAACACCATAGTTTTGTGGTTTTTGTACACTCCTTTGTGTACTAGAGAGGCTGAATGAAATCACACCTGCTTATATGCAAACTCTCACATTATGTGAGTTAGATGCATACACAACACAGAGCAACTGACTGCTCATTCCTAAATGTGTCCAAATTCCAGTCAGAATAAAATCATACAATTCTCAAGTATCTGAAAAGATAACTACATTAAATGATGAGAATTCCAATGTCAAAGACCCACTTTGAGCAGTGCTTTAGCCTGATTTGCACTCACCTTTTTTCAGAGACTAACTGTAGAAACAGCACCCTAACAATTATAATTTGTGACCTTTAAACATAAATTATAATTTCTTAGGCTCATTCTTTCATATTCTATCCCATATTCTTCCAAATAAAAGCTGCCCAAAAATACTTTGCATGAAAAACTAAATGTTCCCAGTGACAACTCTGATCAAGTCATTCTTTGCACATGAACACTGAAAGATGCAACAACAGCAAGAACCACTAGTTATTCTTATAACTTCAAGACTAAACCCTAAATATAGTATGTTTTCAAATTCTCTTTCCCAAAATTCAAGTAATATGTTCATCGCTTTAACTGAAAGCTAGCAAAGTACAACTTGTATTGTGCTGCAGGCCATAAACTGAATGTTCTTTATTTGAGTCATGGTTGGATGAGGATGAAAAGTAGTTTTTGAAAATTTACAACAGTTTTGACACTACTGTGTGTTTATCATTACAAGTTATCCCTCTCTATTTATCAGACTGACTCTAGACCTTTCACTACCTTCAAAAGGACAATTTTTATCAATTCTTCACGTCCTTACAGCTAACCACAGGAAACTGCACAGAATACACAGAAAATCCCTAGTTGAGAAAGAACACGGATAAGAGAAGGACCCCAGTGTGTGCTTCACTGAGGCAAGGGAGTCTATGATTTAAAAGTAACATTAAGTAATTAATTTGTCTTTAGCACAGCACTCAGTGGCATTTTGCTACCCTTTACCTATGCTGAGTAACCATTCTGCTACATAAAATATGTTCCTAAGGAAAAGGAACTTAGAATTATTGGAAGCCCTTTCTCCTCCACCCTAAACTGATACATCACCAGCACTGCTTCCAGTACTTCACAGTAGAGAGCTATATTTTGCATGTGAATCCCATGGAAATCTTTATTTCTCTACCCCAAGCAAAGCATTCCTCAAAATAAAACTGTTCTTAGACTAATTTCTGGGGAGTATTTGGGAGGCTTGGTTTCATACAAAACAGGTTGTGCTTACCTGCCTGTGATGGTCTTTGTTAGTTTTGTTAATTGAAACACTGGATTTACAGTTGGAAAAATGAAGTCTCAATTATGGAGCAATTTCAATACCTAATCTTCTAAATTCAACTTTCCGAAAGATGGAATTACCAGCCCTCATGTCAGTCTTTACTGACTGCACCAAGATGCAAATACAGGCCTACAACATGACTACATTATTTACTGCAGGATAAACACCAGCCTGCAGGAAACATCCCTGACATCAGACTCTGCAGGTGCCTCAAGGAGCCACCATGACTACAAAGAATTTTTTTAACAGAACCTGAAAGGGCAAGGAGAGCCTACAACTGATTCTGGAGCTTCCCAAATGACCCCAGGGTGCTAAATCACAGGCAGAAGTGCAGATAGTCTGTCACTACATGCAACAAAGCTTTGCAGGAGCAGGAGCAGGAGCAAACAGAACCCTTACCTTTCTGCAAGGTGCCATAGTTCCAGCTTACGGGTAAGGCAGCATCAGAGACAAGAGACTGCTACTGTTTTCAAAGACTCAAGACTTAAAGGCTTGGCTAGCAAAAAATTTTCTCCCCCTTTTTTATCAGGTACCCCTTTGTGTGGCATAACACAAAAAGCTTCCAACTTAGGTGATTCTTCAGAGGACTTCAGGGAACACCTGAAGATCTTGCAAGATGCTAGACAGCAACACCAGGGCGTGAAACACCTACACTGCAATGAGATCACCTCAAACAAGATGTCCCAGCTTGGACATACAATTAAATGTCCCATTAATTTTTTTGCATATGTGTACAAAGACTTCACGTGCTTACACAAAAACTCAGCAAATTAAAGCTATTATGACATGAGCTACAACACAGCATTTTTCTACCTAAGAGGAAGAATCAACCAATGTTTCTGTAACTTCTTTTCCCACGATTTAAAATGGTTTCTGTACACCCTCTTTGTGAAATAAGCTGAGTAATAATTACCTCATCACATTTTCCAAAAACTTGTCACTGTGCACTGCAGACAAAGAAGAACCACTAAAACTTCTCTCAAAGCAAGACAGAAGCAAAATCTTAGTCACTTCTCCACATAACAGAAGTTTTCCAAGCAGTTTACCAAAAAATCAAGACATATTATTTCTGAAAGCAAAATAACACATTGCACTTGGAAGATGTGTGCTCTCCATACTGATCAACACCTGTTACATACCTGAAGGGGTTTCTTGAGCAAGCCAAGTCTCCCCAGGTGGTAATTACACTGATCAAATCATCCCCACACATGTTGAAAAAATGGAAAGCAAGAAATAAAGGTAGTCTTAATGGATCAACAGCTTCTTCTGATTTCATGCAGCATGTGAAAAGAATAAACATGGAAAATTCTGGCGATACATTAAGGCAATTCTTACACCCAAACAATTTGATAATGTAACACTGAGTATGAAGCCAGTTTTTTTCATAAATAATGATCTAAACAGAATACTAGTCAATTCACCAAAAGATATCAAAGATATCCCTTTATTACAAATGATCCAAGTATCCCCCTTGAGGCTGTGGCTATCAGAAAGCATTTAGTTGGCTCTCCAGCCAATAATTTTCGGATCTGTTTTATTAAGAAACTGTAACACATTTTCAATAACTTTTAGCTTTGCTATACAGAGCAACAAATAATTTCCCAGAACCCTTTGGAAAAATCTGACATGCGAAATGATTTTCCAGTCAACTTGTGTATTATTAAGATGAAAAAAAACCCCATATATCGGATCATTTGATCACTGGAGAGAATGGCAAAGTATTGGGAGCTTCAGGACAGATGGACGAACTTCAGGTCACATAAAACACTACCAAGGCTGTATTTGAAGAAAAATGTGAAAGTTTGTGAAAGCGCCCCGGGTGAAAATACTTTGTGTTGCTAAGAAACATCATCCCTGATGATGGATGAATTAAATTGTCTCAGTTAGCAGAGCCAACACCAGGCATCCCTCGTTTATTAAGAGAATGTTTTCTTGTACTGGTAATTTATTTCAACAGCTACGTACAAATAAAAAGCCCTACCTTAAAATGAAACTGAGAATTTCAAACTTGCATAATTAATGCTACAAAACAGACTAGAGTTTACATCTTGAACAGAATTTAATAACTAACATTTAACAATGTAAACTCGAAAAATGAATATTAATACATCCAGACTATTAAGAACTTATTTTAGGATTGTATGCAGTGAATTATACTGTTCAACTCCCAAAATTACTCTATGTACAAACCAGTGAAGTGCAAAACTCTTCAAATATTTCTAAGCACCAAACATTATCAAGATTCAGGTAATCAAATTTTAAACATCACTGAGAGAAAAGCATATTCATTTGTCAGGTATTGTTATGATGACAACAACATAAAAACTATGCACAAAGAAATTATGGAAACCACATTCTTTGGTCATGTGGACATTGTCTTAATGTTTCATCTAGTTACTTTTTTAATGTCTTACTTACTGTTTCTCCTTCAGGACAGATTTTTGAAATTAGAGAAGTCAACCTTTGCTTTTCTGAAGTGTCTGCTGTTGAACTCCCACAGATCATACCTGCTTTGCCTGCCAGGCACTGCGCTCAGTGAAGTTCTTTCAGAGGTACAGATGGAAAAGAGGAAGGCCACCAGCTCCTCTCTTCCCACCAGCTGCACACCAGGCCAGAGGAGCTCACCCACCTGAAAGGAGAAGGAACAGCAAGCACATCTCACCTGGCACAGCCTTCAGAGCAGGACACAAGAACAAAGAAGCACAGCAAGTGGGGAGCCCCAATATAAGAACAGTCCCAAGGTCAAGAAGTAGCTCCATGACTGCTGCTCAAAAATGAGGGAAAGGGCAGGGCTTCCTTCATAACTCAGAGAGGACTATGCACCCAGAATATTCAGAGGAATAATGCCATTCAGAAACCAACACAGTTGGCGCACTGAAAACAAACCAAGTGCAAAGACCCATTTTCCAAGAACACAGTTGGCAAAGGGGATAGTCATTAAAGAAAATGAATTTTCATTTGTCTGATGCCAAGGCTTTGGGGTTTTTCTTCCTACTTACTAGATTGTGTTCTAATGGAGATTTCAAGTTGTAAGTCCCAAATTTTAGCCCTACAGAGTCCAATTTAAGAAAAAAGGTGGAAAGCCCTCTATAAACTGTTCTTTGGATCGCATCACAGCTTCCAAGTCAGAAATTACCACACACAGCTACATGCCAGTAATATACTCAGCTAGTCAATACACAGAGGCAGCCACAGAGGCTCTTCATCCCAAATAACCCCACCACGGAGCAGAGTTACCACTGGAGAGCCCAAGGAGAAGTATTTAACAATGATACCAATTTGGCTGTGCGAGAAGAGATGTGTTTCCTGTGGGCCTAATAAGGAAGAGCTTTACAATCTGAGCAGAAGCCTTTCAAAACCTCAGAGGACATGTCTTATCTGCACCACTTCTGCTTCTGGAATCCCAGAAATCCTGAAGACAGAAGGCAGATCAGACTGCAGCTTTCCTAGGCACAGATGTTGCAATCACATCTGCCTTAACTGTAAGCCAGAGTCTTTGTGTCTTCCCAACTCTGTCAGCATCTCTTAGTTGCTTTAGTTTTGGAAATGCCAGGGCAGCGGATAAAAGTGTTTCTGATCACATCAGGTGTAGTAAAACACCAGCATAAAGACATCTGCAGATTATATTCCAAGCAAGTAGCAAGAAAGAAAAGGCTTTGAAGCAGAGAGCATTTCTTCCCCTTCTCCCTTGTCTATGTGTTTCATAAAATAACATTTCAAATCTCGAGATCTGATTTATCAAAGTTGTTTTGGTTTTTGTAAAATGTTGATCTAGCAGCCATGAAGAATGACCATTTGTGGGTCAGAAATAGAAGCATAATTAAAGATGATTTTTACACACCACTCAGAGAAATTGAGGCACCCATGGACACAGATCCATGCAAATATTTTCCAAGCTTTTTTCAACTCATTAAATATCCCCTCCCTAAACACCTATAGCTACAAGGTGTCAGATTTTATTTGTCCCATTTCAGACTTCTCAATGCAAAACAGACACAGACAGAAAGAACCAAGACCAGCAACACCTTGACCAAAGACAATGAGGGAATCAGAGCACAACCCAGCTATGCTATGACCAGTTCCCAAGGTTGGGTCTGAAACAAGGTAAAGGTTGCAGGACTCTCAATATAATAGGCTTCCTCTTGGCATTTTCAGTTCAGGATTATTTAATATTTTAATCACTTGGATGATGAATAATATAATTGCAAAATTTGGCAGTTATCTCAGAAATGCTGCAAGCATTCTGGGAAACAGAGTCAGAATTGAGAAAAGTGGGACTAAGGGATTAACAGCAAAACTGAAATTGGGGTTTTAATACTGAATTGACTGCCAAAATTGATAAATCATTCAAATTTATAATAATAATGATAGGAGCATAATATGAAAAAGATGGTAAGATTTACTCTGCTCATCACAGATCCTAAGGCTGTACATTACACTCCGTTTCAATACAGGTGTAGGAAACGAGCTTAAAAGAAAACCTAAGCAATCTGGGGGAGTTAAACAAGGAGTACAAAAAAAAAAGGTAAAGAAAGATGAGACAAGCTTCAAAATAGGTTAACAGCAGTTACAAGAATCATGCCTCACTACTGCAATATCCACTGCATTAAAAAAAAAAAAAACAACAAAAAAAACAAGAAGCTTAACAGGTTAGGAAAAAAAAAACCAGAATAGTATTAGAGGAAATATGCTACCTCTAGGAATAGTTAAACAAGGGATTAGGTTATGGAGGGGTTACACAAATCTCCACTGATTGTTTTTAAGACCTGGTAAGAAGAAGTGTCAGGAATGGCCTGTACATCTCTCTCTGGCTTGACACTGAACTACATGCTCACACATCCAGTACAGGGTCTCAGCACAGAGCAATGACCTCCCGAGATTCCCGTTTTCTTTCCTAAACTTAAAGGCTGCACAAGTTTAGGCTCCTGCCAGGCGACTCAGCAGGTGACCTGACTGCTCCTTAGAGCTCCAAGCAGGCTTTTGATATCTCTCTTTTCTAAATAGCCCAGGCAGGCTGTGATTGACAATTTTCTCTCACATGAAGCATGCTACCTTAAATGTGGAGTACTCAGAATGATCCGCCAGGGAAATAAAGTCAAAGTACAGAGAAGGCAACGTCAACCAATCCCAGGAATCCAGTCCTGGGAAGAAAATCACAACTGCCAAACTGGGCAAGGATGCACATCCCATTAGTACCCAGAAATACAGATAGTTTTCTTTTCTAGCACCTCCTATAAATAAGCCTTAATAAAAAGAAGTATTTAACAAAGTACTTAGAGAAATAAGGAGGGAAGGTTTGACGTTCCTAAGCTTATTTTCACAGCGGTATGAAAGGAAATGAGGTAGAGTCAGAGCTAATTCTCCTTATATAATTTCACATGGAATGATTAGTTCTGCCCCAACAGTAACAGCTTTCCAGAGGGTCCTACTTGTCGCCAAGATTGCATACAGATGCTCTAAGTGTAGCTTCCCCTATTCTCTACTGACAACCAACTTAAAAGGCCAATATAATATTCATTTTGCTATAGAATGAAATTCACAGCATGAATAGTAAAATAATGTCAGAGCTACCATGAAACTGCAGTTGTGTGTTGGGGGCTGTGACTTTTAAAAGTTTAATCACAAAATGGATTCATGGAGAGAAGCGTGCAGAGCAGCTTTGTGCTTCAGCAACATCCCATGGCCACTAAGGACATCCAAGAGCTGTGACTGGACAAGGAGAGGGCAAAGGCACAGAGGGGCATTCAAGTCACATGCCCTGCTGAATATTTTCCTTTAGAAGGCAGGTTTCAATCATTACTGGGTTAATGCCCCCCTCTCTTAAGCCTGATTAGGACAGACATTCCACATGCTGAAGGTGCTGGAATTCCTAAGTCACCTGGGTCGCTTCTGGGTGAAATACCAATTACTGGGAATTCATCTCAACAAGGCTCATAAAAAACAAGCCTTTAAAGACACCCCTCAGCCCAATGGTGAACATATAACATGGGTAATCCTAAAACTCTTTGCAAAAAAAGACATGTAATAGGTATTAGTACTCTTATAAAGCACCGCAGCACTTTGTGTTTAATCCTTAAACAGACACTGGTAGAAAAGCCATACTCAGTTCCGAAATTTCTACTGCAAATTTCAGTTCATCTACTATTATTCCTGGTTTTTAATAGATTTATAAATTTCAAATATACAGAATAGTAAATTTAACTATCAAGGAAAAATTTAAATCACATGCCAAAACAGCATGCAAAATAATAGCGTACAAACTTTAAATGTGTGTACTTTGCAGTTTTTAGCACAACCATTTGTTTTACAAAAGACCTACAGATTAAATACAAAATACACTATTAGTTTTAGGCACAAGAACAACCAATTTTTTATGCCTTGCCAGAAATAATGACTAATTAGGGCAGCACCACCCTGCAGTCATTTCCATAAATCTTGCTTTTACATTTAAATCACAACAAGAAGAAAACTGACTTAACAACAACAAGAGCATATTTCTCATTAAAGTTTTCTTAAAGCAAGATCAGGACAAGAAATTATTCTGTAAAGTCAACAAGCTGATCTTATTGTTTATTTGGAGAACTTTAACTCAGACCAAACACAAAGTTGTACTCAGAAATTTGCTGCATTAAACTGTAATCAGCCAGGCAAAACTTTCAACTGGGAAATCATAAAACAGAATTTTACAGGATCTTGATGGATTTCTTATTTAGCAAAGAAATCATCTCACAGCACATTCCTTGTGTAAACCTTGAAAAGAATCGGAATATAAAAGATGCAATGTGTTCAACTACTTGTTCAATTTTTGGTTTTGGGCATATTTGTATGTAAATATTAAAGCAGAAAGATACATAGGAAATACAATTCAGATTAAATGAGAAGCTGTACTTCAATTAAGATTTTTGTTTTAAAATTATGGGAATTATGGTGCTTCTGAGAAATCACTTCCTTAATTATATATACTAGGCAAGATACTTAAAACATTTCATTTTCATAATACGACAGGGACTTTGTTTCTCTTTTATTTACAAAGGTGTCACCTGGTAAATAAACACCAATAAAACAGAATCAGGATTTATAGAATCACAGACTCCACAATAAGATTATTAACACACAACTCTGAGGTTAGCTTTTTTCCTCCCCCAAAACTGATTGGAAAGAACAGGATAAAGTGGAAACGGGAAAATTTTCTAAGAGGCGGTCTAGAAATGGAGCTAAGCCACACCACCACTGCTCTGGCTAATTATCCATTTTAAAGCGTTTTAAGCATTCCCAACTATTTCCTTTTGCATGCACGCACAAAGGTTTGCAATATTCTGGAAGTTCTTCCATGCAATGGCTCTACAACAGGTCTGTTTCTAATATGTGCATTTCATTAAGCTTTAGGGGGATTAACCAAGATTCTCAGTTCTTGAGGAAAATAAGGCATGGCAACATTGAGGTCTTCAGCCTTCGTTCCAACACGCTTGACCGCTGAATATTGCCAGGGTGAGTCATGCCCAACATGGGACATGGATTCCATCCCAAGAAGGAATAAAACACTGCATCATATTCAATCTGCATCCAATTACTTAGGCGTGAACTCAAAGGGTGTGTTTTTATCTCAATGACAGCTTCTAAAAATGACAGTGAAAGAAATCTTACACTCTGGATGGTGTTTTATCCATCAAGACCATGACCACCACACATTTTCTGTTGCCAGAGGCATGGCCAAAGTGACCTTCTTAAGAACCACTGTTACACCTCCAAGAAGAAAACGTTCCCATGGTATTCAGGGCAATTTCATACTTGTACCATTGAGCATCAGTAACACAGACAACCTGCTGCACAAACAGGCACTGACTGCCCAAAAATAACCTTGGAACAAAACTGGAAAATAGTATGTGAAGCCACACTGGTCACACTGGTGTAGAGCCACAATACATACAGATGTTTTCAGATGCAAAACTAATTAAATTCCCCTTTTTTGGGTCACCATAACATTTTTTTCACAACAATTCAGCAAATGACATATGTAATAAATTTTACATGTTTGATTATATGCAAAGCTATACACACAAATATTTAAATCAAAGTTGCTTATCCAAGATCTACTTACTTCAGGATTTATGTATCACAACTGTTTGTGTTCTTTGTGTTGACCCTAAAAAAAATAATTATTCACGGGAAAAAATACAAACCACCCTTAGTGCCTGCCCTTGCCTGTTTTCCTCCAACTTCTGCATTTCATCATTAGTGTTACATACTTCACTGTTAATTTTAGACATTCCTCCAGCTCTCATTTGGACATCAAAGAGCTACTCATACCCAAAATACCAGCAATCTGAAATACTGGCTTCCCTACTTATTGTCATTTATAACTTGAAAAGATCTTTGATTTCTTGCCTACAGGAAATACTGCCGATCAAAAATAAAACATATATATGCTCCCATGAATTCCTATAGATGGGGTCCAGGATTTAGGATAATAGACTGGAGACGTGGTTTTCAGATTTACATTTCCTACTCTGCCTGGTGCTTCACACGTTTATTTTTACTTTCACATCTGACATGCAGCAATATGGCCAGCTAAGGTGTACGTTTAAGACATCCTTTGATATAAATCCACAGAGATGTGAAATTCACACCGGGCTCTGTGTCCTTGCAGCACTCAGGCCCCACTCCCCCACCGATAACTGCTCCACTTACAGATGGCTGGGGGCAGCCCAAGGCTGGCTCTCCACAGCCCCTTGTTAACAATTCTGCCATCAAAGATTAAGGTGACTTTCTTGCTTTAAAAACTTGGTAGAGAACATTTCTCACATACAAATAAAAAAAAAAACCAACCAAAAAATAAAACATGGTGGCCAGTTTTTTTCCTTTTCTGAAATGCTTGCTGCATGACTTCCTAACAGCCTTGAGTTTGTATTTACAGTTTGCTCTTCATTTTTTTTTAATTATAAATAATATTATGTTACACAAATAATTCCAAACAATGAGAGACTCACTCTGTTCAAGTCAACAAACCATTTGCTTTGGTTTTGTTACTACTCCCACTACACAGCAGCTCATGTCTCAAGCAGTGGAACAGTCAACATTTTAAGATGCTGTTCTTTATACCAGTATCATAAAATAAAATCATTAAACAGTTCAGGTTGGAAGAAAACTTAAAGATCATTTTATTCCAATTCCAATTTATTCCTGCCATGGGCAGGGATATCTTCTGCTAGATCAGGTTGCTCCAAGCCCTATCCAGCTTAGCCTTGAACACCTACCACTACTAACATAACAATAACTCTCACACCACTAAAAGTTTTCAGTGTATCTCCCTACAACAGAGCACACTTCAGTTCACACCAGATTGCATATGTTACATTTGTGAACCAAATTTTTATAGAAACAGCAGTTACCACTTTTATTTAACCAGGTAACATCTCAAGTCTATGGACAAGACTTCCTCGCTGCAATTGGAACAACTAATCCAAGACAGTATTCCACATTAAATATTTGCTCAAAAGCTGCAGGATAAATGCCTTACCCCCACGGCTCTCCCAAGCTCGACTATATGGGATTGTTTTGGATAAACATATTCTGATTTTGTGAAGCCAAACAACAAGATGTATAGTTATTTCATTTCCTTTCTGTAAGTTATATTCCAGCTTACAAACAGTAAGGAATTTAAATACAGCAAATGGTGCCAGAATTACTGGCCTTCTCTATGTCAGGAAGTGCTTGGTGTTAGCACAGCTTCCAACAGTCATTCAGGTTTTTCACAAGGAGCTGATTCTAGGAGCCCTGAGTGAAGAAAAGAATACAAAAAATGTGCTGGTTTGATGATAAAATCATCTATTTAGACACTTTCACCAGTGCAGGACATTGATCAGAGACCACAAAACTTCACTGCTCTGATCAAAATAGAAAGTTAGAAGCTCAACACTGTAAACTGGGACGGAACCCTAAAATGCTCAAGGCATGTGGCTCTGAGCTACGGGCTCAAAGCACTTTGCAGTCACAGGGTGTAGAAAACATTTATAAAAAGTGAAACCAGGAACTTTTTGTTTTCATATTCTCAAATTTTATTGAGCAGAAATGTTTGAGGATAGTTTATTGCTTTTACCGGCCACTCTAAAATGGGCCTCCAGCCAGCCAGGTCTTTAAAATATGTCTATATCTTTGGTTTTAAAACAACATTAAGGAAGTTGTATAATTTTAACACTGGAGTCTGAGCGACTTAGCAGCAAAAGCGACAGGTTTCAGCTGTAACACAGGCACTTTGCAAGTTACGGGCACCACTTTGCAACAGCACCTGTTGCACTTGGTATTGATCCTAATGCAGGCAAGAGATCCACAAGGGTTAATTAACAGGTGTTTAACTCATGGCACATCCCAGGAGACTCAAATTCAGGTGTACCAGATATCAAACTGTGCATTTTATCAGCTGAGGGAGGAATTTGGTGCCCCATTTGTGAAGTACCAACACTCTGAGCTGAGCAGAGTTTTCCGGCTAGGTTCCACTGGCACTGTCATTCATAAAGGGGAATATTGACCAGAAAGCTTGTAAACAAGTCAATTACAAAACATACTTGCATATTGCTACAGTTGTAAACACCAAGGTGTTTACACTGTATTGAGAATACTCTTCACTTTTTTACCCTTTCAATTTCACACAAACTCAAAAAAACAGGACTAATTTAAAATCCTATCTCCCCTTAATAGATTTGTGCAACCTGGACTCACAGTATTTGAACTGGCTTTAGTACACCTGGACTTTCAAAAAAGGGGAAAAAAGATGAGGCAAGACTCTACATGAGGCCTTGAAAGCCTCAATTAAACTTCAGTATCGTACTTTGTATAGAGGCTCTTTACATAAAAACCCTATCATGGTTAAGATTTAAGGTTAACCAGGTTAATAGAGTCCAATAAAATAGCTCTACTGAATTTTACCAAGCCACTGTTATAACCCACACTAAAATCTGCCATTTGACTTTACCTATTTGGCTCAACTCTGAACCATAAATTAAGCTTCAAACTCTTTCCTACACTTCTTAAAAAAAAACAAAGTGCATGCTTTTGCACCTTAAAAGGTTTCTCTCCTCTAGTCTACTACTCCAGTCAATGCAGTCATGTGTTAAAAGATTTGTGCAGACCTGACAAGTCCCATTCATCCCAGACACACTTTCCTAAAGTTGGGATGTGTTTACAAAGTATATTTAAGCAGCTCCTCTGCTGCAAAGTGTTCTATTCCAGGGTATACTTAGCTTGTAATAATAAAACAAATTTCCTAAAATCCACACATTTTGTATAAGTAGCACTTTTAATGTTTTTGTTTTCCGTCTATAAAACTTGATGGAATGCCAAAGCTAAGGGTGCAATTTTTCCAGACAGCTTCACCAGCAGAAATGTTCACACGAATAAACATTTTAATTTCGATACTGGGAATCAAACTGGGTTCAGATTTTGCCCCTCCCTTTAACTGCTCAGAAAAAGCAGTCCCTGCTCTGCACACCTTGCATGTCAAAACAGAAGGGCAAAAGAAGAGTGTCCGTACGGAACAGCCTCCCCACGGGCACTCGGACCGGCCGGGCCCCGGCGGCGGCTGCGGCGCGGGGCCCAGGCCCGGCCAGGCCGCGCTGCCCGCCCGCCGCAGGGCCCGCACGGCCCCGGGAAGGGGCCGGGGCAGCCGCAGCCGCTGCCCGCGCTCCAGCCCCGCCGGCAGCCATGTTAGAGCGGCGGGAGGCGGCCCCGCGGCTCCCCGGGAGCGGCCCCTGCCCGCCCGCGGCGCTCCGGGGCACGGCGGGGCCGAGCTCCCCGCCCAGCCGCGGGCCCGTGCTCAGCGCGGCCGCAGGTGCCGGGAGCCGCGGCGGGCGGAGCCGGCTCCTCCGCTGCCCTCGGTTCCTCTCGGCTCCCCCCGCCCAGCGCAGCGCAGCTCGCCCGGAGCCCTCTCCGCCGCCCGTCCTGCAGCCGAGCGCCCGCCCCGCTGACCCCTTCCCTCCCTCCCGGCTGGCGCGGGCGGCCCCGCTCTCACCCCACCCCGAGGGCGCTCACCTCTTCCTCCTCCTCTTCCTCCTCCTCCTCACTCCCTCCTGGAGACCGTCGGCAGCGACGCGCCGGCGTCCCGGCCCCTCCCTCAGCTCAGCGCCGGCCCCCCCTTCCGCCCCGCCGCCCGGGGACCCTCCCTGCCCGCGGGCACCGCGGGACGGGCCCCGGGGCTCCGCCGCCGCCAGCCCGGCTGCCGAGCGGGTCACGGGGAGAAGGACCCCAGAGAGAAACCATGGAACGGGAAACGAGCCGTGCGAGGAAAGCGACGAGCGTCTTTGCAAGAGTTTTGGGAGCAGGGAGGGGTGGGAGGAATAAATCGCAAGGAGTTACGCGCCAGGTGGGCTAAATAAAATAAATATATAAAATTAAAAAAAAATAAAAATAAAATAAATAAAGAATACAGTTTTCTGGGAGAAGCAGCTGAAAAGAGTGACAATCAGGGCTGTTGCCAGTTAGATATGAGTAGGAGGTGTGTGTTCTTTCCGTAACTCAAGCCTTTTCAGGTGGTGCAGCTCCTGGGAGAGGCTGAGCAGGTGTTACCATAGAATCATCATAGATTTGTAAAATGGTTTGGCTTGAAAAGGACCTTAAAGACTTACTTGTTTCAATCTCCACGGCCAGGAACACCACCTACTAGACCAGGTTGCTCCAAGAACCATCCAGCCAGACCTTGAACACTTCTAGGGATGGGGCAGACACAACTTCCCTGGGCAGCTTGTTCCAGTGCCTCACCATCTTCCCAGTAAAGACTTTTTTCCTAATATCTAATCTAAATCTGTTTTCTTTGAGTTTGAACCTGTTCCCCCTTATCCTGACAAAACGTGGTCTTGTAAGTTGTCTCGTCCTATTTTTCCTGTAAATTGCCTTCAGACACTGGAAGGTCACAACAAAACCACCCCAAAGTCTTCTCTTTCCAGGCTGCACAATCCCAGTTCCCTCAGCCATATCTCACTGGAGAGGTTCTCCATCTCCCTGATCAACCTGGTGGCCTCTTCGCAGGTGTAATTGTTACAGGTAGGTGTACCAACCCTCTTTTTGCCCACAGTGAATAACAAACCTTCCCAGCAAAACTATTTTAGAGGAGAAATGTTTTGTCACACTGACTCACTTTAGTGTGGTGCTATCTCTGGTATGTAGACAGAAACTTTTCTTTTTTTTTTAATAGGAAGTCAAATGAATAGCACCTAATAGAGTAACAAAGCAGAATTTCCAAAGACTACGGCTGTGAGAAGCATCAACACCAGTAACTTGAGGAATTATGTATTTTTTTTCCCTACTTTGGCTAGTCAGTGATTATGAAAGAGTGACGAGAAGGCTGATTTGCATGCGAAATACCCTTAGTATAAGGCAGCCTTTTGTTTCACAAGTTTTAGGTTCAAAAATCCTGGTAAAGTTGTTTTACAGTAGCTTTCCACTGTCCTGCACCTCTGAATTCCTCACACTGCAAAGCTGTGGAAATATGAAAACATCATGAAGGAGACAGTTCTTCATGGGTTTTACCTAGGCAGAAGTGGTAAGACCTGAAAAGCTTTTAATATTTATCATGTGCATTATAAATAATTTTATAAGGTTGTGTCTCTCAGACAGAGTGACAGATGAAGAGGCCTCCAGTCCAGCTGAATGATTTGTCCCTGGCATGTGCTGGAATGCAAACAGGATGCTTTATCCCCAGTTTATGGATAGAAAAATTGAGGCAAGGAAGTGAAGGCATTTATTTTCCAAGTGTAGAAGTGCTCATTTGTAAGCAGGCAATTTAGTCTTGAACTTTTTTCTCCTTTTTTTTGAGGAAAAGGACCGTGTATATACAGTTCCCATTGAAACTACACTTGAGGCACCCAAGCAGAAAGACTTTGGCCATACTCTTTTGGGGTCCCGCAGCCCTAATCCCATGTTCTAATTGGCCAGTAATCTGTGGACAGATATTGTAACAGTTCCTTTAGAATATTTTTCTACTTCTCACTCATTTGCATACTAATGGCATAAAAATAGGCACTTCCTGCCAGTAATTAGTTGGAGCCCAGGATTTAAAGAAAGAAAAACACCACAGCATTATGGTAGATGGATGGTACTGAGGAAGCTGCAAAAAAGAGTCACTTCTCTGGTGCTCAGAAAGTGCCTTTAATTTAGAGTTCAAGGCTGGCAACTCTGTTACCTCTGTGTGACAAGGATTAACTGTTTGGTTGGCCTAATAACTTTGCCTCTAATGAGCCCCTCTAATTTTTTTCATGGCAAATCACTTGATCTGTCCTGCACCCAGGCTCACTGCTGTAAAATGTTTTTTCCTTTTTTTGCCTTTTTCCCATAAGGAATAATGCTGGCAGTGAAGTCTGTGAGTGGAGTTCCTTGTGGATCACCATGACTCAGAGCAGCACAGAGGCTGCTCAAGGGTTGCACACCTAATGAGGCACTGTGAAACCCATACTGCATCAAATCATGTGAAGTTCTAGGCTAAAAGAGCCCTTTAGGAGCTGCATGTAAATATGGGGTTATTTCATTTCTCACATGTAGACTCGACTGCAAACCAAGCTGGTGATAGCTGGAAATTTTCCTCTTGTGTTATGGCAACCGAGGTAACTTTGGGTTTACGTATCACAGAATCATGGAACAGTTTGAGTCAGAAATGACCTTAAAGATCATCCAGTTCCAAGCATCTTCAGTGAGATGGTGAAAATTTATTTTGCTGCTTTCATTCCCCCTGATTCTGGAGATCCTCAGTACATGGAGCTGCTGGAGTGAGTCCAGCAGAGGATACAAACATGATTGAGGAGCTGGAGCATCTCCGTTTTCAAAGAACCAGGGGATGGATCCAATAAAGGGTGTTTATGCTGCTTAAGACTGAAACCTGCAATTCAGAATAAATATTTGGTTCTAATAACAAGATCCAGAATCATAGAAAGGATTGGGTTGGAAGGTACCTTAAAGACTATCCAGTTCCAACCCCTCCTGTGATGGCCAGGAACACCTTCCACTATCCCAGGTTGCTCCAAGCCCCATCCAGGCCTGGTCTTAAACACTTCTAGGGATGAGGGAGGCACAGCTTCTCTGGGCAACCTGTGCTAGGGCTTCCCCACCCTCACAGGCAATAATTTCTTCCTAATATCCAATCTAAACATATAATCTTTCAGTTTAGAACTCTTCCCCCTTGTCCTGTCATTCCAGACCCCTGTCTGAAGTTTCTCTCCAGCTCTTCTGGAGCCCCTTTAGGCACTGGAAGGGGTGGCAAGGTCTCCTTGGAGCCTTCTTCAGGCTGAACAGCTCAGCTCTCTCCATTTCTGGAGATGCTCCACCTTTCTTACACCTTTTTATTTTCCCTTCCCTTCATCCATCCCACTTTGTTGCTAATCTTATAATGTCAAGCATGTGCCAAACTCTCTATTACATTGTGCTGAACTTAGAAGTGAAATTGTGTTGCTTTTTTTTTTTTTTTAAATCTTGAAAAGCAAACCTTGTGAAGCTTGTTTCCAGCAGAACTATAGTGCCAGAAAGTATTTTCCTGAAAACTTTGAGACTGTAGCTTATTAAAGCACAGATCCTTAAGATGATTGGGTCTATTCCATTAGTAGATTTATAAAGTGTGCAGACTGGATAAACAACAGTGACAGCTTGGGGAAGTGTATGCACCTGTTTATTAAAAAGACGTTAACAAGGGCAAATCTAAAATAAGAACATGTACCACAACCCAATTTTCAGCAAATTTTTATGCATGCCTACACTTAAGGTTACCAATGTTATTGGCAATTTCTCTCTCTCTTTTCTCTCTCAGAAGTACACGGCAACTGATGAGCACGGAGCATCTGTGGCAAAGGAAAAAAACACCATCTTCAAATTTTGAGGAGCAAACATGACCCTTTCTTTTTCTACTGTTTTCCACCCACATTCAGTTAGTGTGAGAGAAGAAAGAAAATTAAAAAAAAAAAAAAAAGCAGAAATACTCTCTTTGCAGGGAAGGACTGAAGAATCTATTGTTCTCTCATTCACAAGCAAGTGCTTTCATCACCTCTACTTTCATTTTGCTCTACATCATAAGTGACAGCGAGTTTTCTATATTTTGCTGGTATAACTTAGAAGGGGTCACGATTCTAAAAGTTCTCCTGCAGAACTGAGTCTTCTGTTTGGATGTATGCAAATTCTATGGCTCTTATGCCACTTGTACTTTGCAGATAGGTATAATCGTATGCAGAAATGGAGATTATATGTGTACATGCAAGTTTTCAGAATTAATCAACCAAGAATGTACAAAAACTACAAATGCCTTGCTGAAATTTGGCTCAAAATAGATTTATGAATTAGCCTGCTATAGCAGCTTTCACTCAAGGTTGCTAAATACAATCCATTATTATAAATAATTAATGACTTATAATATTTGCATGACGATGGAGCTTGGAGCAACCTGGTCTAGGAGAAGGTGTCCCTGCCTATGGCAGGGGTGTTGGAATGAGATGGTCTTTAAGGTTCCTTTTAACTGAAACCATTCTATGATAACACTATTGCCCTAGAAAAGCATTTTGTCAATATATCCCAATCTTGGGAGGACCTGATGGTACTTTTGTCTACATAAAATTGCTGTAATAGCATTTTTTATAAGTATAAATTGCTGTCAGCCTGGATCCCCTCCAGGATTAGATCTTGATCCCCAAAGACATAAAAGTGCTACCACCTCCTTTTTAGATATTGAAAACAGGAAACTGCATGGGTTAACCCAAGTATAACCAAGTAAATAATTAAAATTTAGGCTCCAAATTTGTCAAGTGTATTGCAAGCACAGTCACAAACGCTTTGTGGAGTCACCTTCATGTCAGTAGTTGATGTGAATATTTTTGAAGACAAATAAAAGCCCTGGACCTGCCTGAGTCCAGTGTTTCAGCCCATGGCCAGGGTACAGAACACATCCCTCAAACACATCTGATTACTTCTGTTATTATGAAATGAAGCAAAGAGTCCTTGAACATTTCTCACAATTCAGCAGGCAAAAAAAAAAAAAAAAAAAAAAAGCAATGTTTTACTGCAGTCTACCTTTTACTAGAGCTTGGTACAATAGGATGTGATTATTTTAGGAACATTAAAAATATCTACTATCTT